TTGTGGGAACAATGCTGTATTTCAGCAAGGTAAGGGTGTACCTTTCTACACACTATTGTAAGGCTAATCCTTTTATTTCAAATTCAACCAAATCCATTCCATTTTCTTCTGCTTATCCGGGGCCGGGTCGCGGAGGCAGCAGTCTAAGCAGGGACTCCCAGACCTCCCTTTCCACGCACACTTCCTCCAGCTCTTCTGGGGGAACCCCAAGGCGTTCCCAGGCCGGCCGAGAAACATAGTCCCTCCAGCGTGTCCTGGGTCTTCCCTGGGGCCTCCTCCCCGTGGGACATGCCCAGAACACCTCCCGAGGGAGGCGTCCAGGAGGCATCCGAAAAAGATGCCCGAGCCACCTCAACTGGCTCCTCTCAACGTGAAGGAGCAGCGGCTCTACTCCGAGCTCCTCCCATGTGACTGAGCTCCTCACCCTATCTCTAAGGGAGCGCCCAGCCACCCTGCGGAGGAAACTCATTTCGGCCGCTTGCATCCGCGATCTTGTCCTTTCGGTCATTACCCAGAGCTCATGACCATAGGTGAGGGTGGGAACGAAGACTGACCGGTAAATCGAGAGCTTTGCCTTTCGGCTCAGCTCCCTCTTCACCACAACCGTCCGATACAGCGACTGCATCACTGCTGAAGCTGCACCGATCCGCCTGTCAATCTCACGCTCCATCCTCCCCTCACTTGTGAACAAGACCCCGAGATACTTGAACTCCTCCACTTGGGGCAGGGCCTCTCCACCCACCCGGAGAGGGCAAGCCACCTTTTTCCGGTCGAGAACCATGGCCTCGGATTTGGAGGAGCTGATCTTCATCCCAGCCGCTTCACACTCGGCTGCAAACCGCCCCAGTGCACATTGCAGGTCCTGGTTCGATGAAGCCAACAGGACAACATCATCTGCAAACAGCAGAGATGAGATCCTGTGGTCCCCAAACCGGACCCCCTCCGGCCCCTGACTGCACCTAGAAATTCTGTTCATAAAAACAATGAACAGAACCAGTGACAAAGGGCAGCCCTGGCGGAGTCCAACATGCACCGGGAACAGGTCTGACTTACTGCCGGCAATGCGAACACAGCTCCTGCTCCGGTCATACAGGGACCGGACAGCCCTTAGCAAAGGGCCCCGAACCCCATACTCCCGGAGCACCCCCCACAGGACACCACGAGGGACACGGTCGAATGCCTTCTCCAAGTCCACAAAGCACATGTGGACTGGTTGGGCAAACTCCCATGAACCCTCGAGCACCCTATGGAGAGTGTAGAGCTGGTCCAGTGTTCCGCGGCCAGGACAAAAACCACACTGCTCCTCCTGAATCCGAGGTTCGACTATCGGGCGGATTCTCCTCTCCAGTACCCTGGAATAGACCTTACCGGGGAGGCTGAGGAGTGTGATTCCCCTGTAATTGGAACACACCCTCCGGTCCCCCTTCTTATACAGAGGGACCACCACCCCGGTTTGCCAGTCCAGAGGTACTGTCCCCAACCGCCATGCGATGTTGAAGAGGCGTGTCAGCCAAGACATCCCCACAACATCCAGAGACTTAAGATACTCAGGACGGATCTCGTCCACCCCCGGAGCCTTACCACCAAGGAGCTTGCCAACCACCTCAGTGACTTCAGCCAGGGTGATGGACGAGTCCGCCTCTGGGTTCCCAGTCTCTGCTTCCTCCTCGGAAGACGTGACGGTGGGATTGAGGAGATCCTCAAAGTATTCTTTCCACCGTCCGACTACATCCCCAGTCGAGGTCAACAGCTCTCCCCCCGCACTGTAAACAGTGTTGGTGAAGAACTGCTTCCCCCTCCTGAGGCGCCGGACGGTTTGCCAGAATCTCTTTGAGGCCTTCCGATAGTCCTCCTCCATGGCCTCTCCGAACTCCTCCCAGCTCCGAGTTTTTGCCTCTGTGACCGCACAAGCTGCCGCACGCTTGGCCCGTCGGTACCCATCAGCTGCCTCAGGAGTCCCACGAGCCAACAAGACCCGATAGGACTCCTTCTTCAGCTTGACGGCATCCCTTACTTCCGGTGTCCACCACCGGGTTCGGGGATTGCCGCCGCGACAGGCACCACAGACCTTACGCCCACAGCTACGGGCGGCCGCATTGACAATGGAGGTGGAGAACAGAGCCCACTCGGACTCCATATCTCCAACCTCCCCCGGGATCTGGGAGAAGCTCTCCCGGAGGTGTGAGTTGAAGATCCCTCTGACAGAGGGTTCCGCCAGACGTTCCCAACAGACCCTCACGACACGCTTGGGTCTGCCAGGTCTTTCCGGCTTCCCCCACTGCCAGCGGATCCAACTCACCACCAGGTGGTGATCGGTTGACAGCTCAGCCCCTCTCTTCACCCGAGTGTCCAAAACACGCGGCCGGAGGTCAGATGACACGACGACAAAGTCGATCATCGACCTCCCGCCTAGGGTGTCCTGGTGCCACGTGCACTTATAGACACCCTTGTGTTCGAACATGGTGTTCGTTATGGACACACTGTGACTAGCACAGAAGTCCAATAACAGAACACCACATGGGTTCAGATCAGGGAGGCCGTTCCTCCCAGTCACCCCTCTCCAGGTGTCACTGGCGTTGCCCACGTGGGCGTTGAAGTCCCCCAGGAGAACAACGGAGTCCCCAGTTGGTGCACTGTCTAGTACCCCTCCCAGGGACTCCAAGAAGGCCGGGTACTCTGCACTGCTGTTCGGCCCGTAGGCCGACACCACAGTGAGAGACCTGTCCCTGGCCCGAAGGCGCAGGGACGCGACCCTCTCGTTCACCGGGGTGAACTCCAACACGTGGCGGCTGAGCTGTGGGGCTATAAGCAAGCCCACACCAGCTTGCCGCCACTCCCCGCAGGCAACACCAGAAAAATGGAGAGTCCAACCCCTCTCGAGAGGTTGGGTACCAGAGCCCAAGCTGTGCGTGGAGATGAGGCCGACTATATCTAGCCGGTACCTCTCAACCTCCCGCACAAGCTCAGGCTCCTTCCCCCCCCCACTGAGGTGACGTTCCACGTCCCTACAGCCAGGTTCTGTGTCCGTGGACTAGGTTGCCGGGATCCCTGACCCCGACCGCTGCCTAGTTCACAGCGCACCCGACCCCTATGAAACCCTCTGCGGGTGGTGAGCCCACAGGAGGGCGGGCCCACGTCGTCCCTTCGGGCTGAGCCCGGCTGGGCCCCATGGGCAAAGGCCCGGCCACCAGGCGCTCGCTTTCGAGCCCCAACCCCAGGCCTGGCTCCAGGGTGGGGCCCCGGCTGCGCCATACCGGGCGACGTCACGGTCCTTGTTTTTATACTGTTCATAGAGGTTGTATGAACTGCTCTTAGTCTGCCCCGTCACCTAGGACCTGTTTGCCATGGGAGACCCTACCAGGGGCATAATGCCCCGGGCAACATAGCTCCTAGGATCATTCGGGTACGCAACTCCCCCACCACGATAAGGTGGCAGTTCACGGGGGAGATTCAACCAAATCAACATGTTTTTTTTGTTTTGTTTTTTTGGTGAAGCATGGTGACAGCGTGTTACGAATTCTCCTCCACCTGTCATCCTTTACTGCTGTAATGCCATCACTCATTTCACTTGATATGTTAGTGTCCTGAGCAATTCAAACACAAGTAAAATTTAAATTTTACATTTAAACATTGCAATAAATTTGAAATACATTGAGACTTTTTGTTTAGTTGTTTTCTAACACATTAGAAGTATTTTGTCTGCTCATGCATAATATGTGCAGTAGTGAGAAATGAGGGGAAATTGGGGAAAATAGTGTTATTTTGAAAAAGAATTGTTGTATGTTTTGTAATCATAAAACTAAAGCACAGTATTTTATGATTGTTTGGTTAAGCTGTTAGACTCACCCTTCGATTGGTAAATGCAGAGTAGCACTCCTTTACCAACACTGTCTTAATAATTTCAGGATCTGCCACCAGTAAAACTGGCTGTCGGGCATCATACAGCCTAACGGCAACAAACACAGAGGAAAACTCAACATCTCCTAAATAATGTATTTACAACAGGCTGTATCAATGGAGCTCAACAATGACCACCAACCCTCCAGTTCCAGAAGTAAATTTCTCATTCATCTTTCCCAAAGATTTTCTGAAAATAAATAAATAAATACAAGTCTGCAAGCTTGCTCAGGGCTATATATGGTAACTAATGACCACAAGACCTATAATTTTATTACCTCCGCCAAGGAGGTTATGTTTTTGCCGGCGTTTGTCTGTTTGTTTGTTTGTCTGTTAGCAACATAACTCAAAAAGTTATGGACCGATTTTGATGAAATTTTCAGGATTTGTTGGAAATGTGAAAAGGAAGAACTGATTTCATTTTGGGGGTGATCCGGAAGAAATCCTGGATTCTGTATCACTTTGAAACTTTAGTTAACATTGTGGTAAATGGGGCCAAAAATTTTGTTTCTCAATATCTCGGTTAATTATTGACCAAACCCCATGAAATTTGACTCAGGGGTGGACAATGGGATCCTCTTTCATATTCCAAAGGCTGATCCGGATCTGATCCAGAAGAGTTTATCGCAATTTATATAAGAAATGGGGGTAGTCCTTGGCGGAGGTCTGCGCTCTCTGAGTGCTTTTCTAGTTTTAAATCTGTTTCTGAAACTTTTGTTTTTTAACTACCAAGTTATTAAACACTTTGCTAAATCTTTCATTTTAAATGCACTTATTGGACTTAAAACAACCACATAATGGATAATAGTTACCATCTAGGTATTAGCCTCTGCAATGTCTTTGAACTCTTTGATAATTAAAGATAAAAAAAAAAAAATGGGAAAATGAATGGAAAATTCACCTCTAAAACCAGAACAGTTGCTCTTGAGCTCCTATGAGACAGCGCATGCTCATCACCAGGTGAGGATTTGTTTTTCTGTAAAAATGCTTTAACATATCCTACCCCCAGACATCTCCATACTTCTGGTGGCACACTCTGTCAAAAGGCAAAACTCCCTAGAAAAAAAAAAAACATGTTGATTTTTTATTTTTTTCCCCCATAATCCATCGCTATGCAGAGCGACTAGTACAGACACTGGAGAAAACAAACCTGGATGAACCTGTGGATATTAAAGCGTAAGAAATGTGCCTATACCTGTCTAAAGCCCCAAATACTATTTTCTGTTCTAACAGTTATGTGCTTCAGATTTGTTGCCCCCTACAGTCTAGACGTTGTGTCCAGTGCATCCTTCAGTGTCGACACAGATGCCATTACCAGTCCAGATGGGCTTTTTATCACTCATTTGAAGAAAATGATGAACTTTTCACTTTTGCCCTTGCTTATATTACGTATGGTTAAATTTATGTTAATGCTTAGGCTAATACAGCTTTGTGTAACCCCTGTCTCTATGTCTGCAGTGGTGTTTCCCTTTGGTACTCGAATAGTGAACGCTTTAGGGCTGCCTCTCTTTCCCAAAGCCAGTGTGGACTTTTTCTATGACATCATTAAAAAATTCAAAGATCAGCATCATTCAGACAAGACTGTAAGTAAGCAGCATGTATTATTATTATCTCTCTTATAAATGTTTGCAATGTGACCAATATTACATTTATATAAATTTGTATAGAGCCGAGGAGACTTCCTGCAAGTGATGATTCAGAATGAAATTCCTGAAATACCAAATGAAGATGAACAACCCAGTAAAGGTATGGTTTTGTATACCAGTTAGGAATGGTCAGTCTCTTTAATCAATTAATTGATGGCTTAATAGACTTAGCATTTGACTATTTATTTGTAAAACTGAACTAACAGTCATTATTAGGTAATTATGCTCAAAGGTTGGAAGGTATGGATAATATTATTGACATTTACAATTTTGTCTAGGTCTGACCGAGCATGAAATCCTTTCCCAAGCCTTGGTTTTCATCTTTGGGGGCTATGAGACCACCAGTGCCACTCTCTCCTACCTACTGTACCAGCTGGCCCTCAATCCTGAAGCTTTACAGAAATTACATGATGAGGAGAGACAACTGCTTACCTAAAGATGTACAGTGTTCTGCAGTAGAATTAAACTCACTGTCTTACTGTACTGACTCTACCCTCCATTCTGTAGGCTCCAGTGTCTTATGAGGATCTGATGAGCCTGCAGTATTTGGATCAGTGTCTGAGTGAATCCCAGCGTCTGACCCCAACTGCCCCACGTCTTGAGAGAGCATGTAAGAAGACAGTGCAGATCCACGGCATCACTGTCCCAGAGGGGACCATGATGGGAATCCCTGTGGCCCTTTTGCACAAGGACCCACGTTTTTGGGATCAGCCTGAGTTCTTCAAACCGGAGAGGTTGGTGCAGTGTTTTATATTTTTACTCTTTTTTATTTATCACAATGCAATAACTAATGTAATGCATCGATAATGTAACTCCAGATTTAGTCAAGACCATGAGATCAGCCCATATGTGTTCATGCCTTTTGGACAAGTGCCTCGCAACTGCATTGGGATGCGATATGCGATCCTAACTATGAAGATGGTTGTGGTGCGCCTCCTTCAGAGCTACACTTTGGAAACGTGTAAAGAAACAACGGTAAAGCTCAGAGAGCCATAATTTATTGTGTAAGTTGACCCAGGCAAAGGTCCAGTTTTATAACCAACTGCTTTCTCATTTAGATTCCGCTGCTGATGAACTGGAGGGCCGCACCTGTGAAGCCTATCAAACTCAAAATTGTTCCAAGGAACCCTTCATAAATTCAGCATCTTTTTTTAAAGTACATTTTCTTGGTATATGTTTTATATATGGTTATGGTCAGCAGCCTGTTTTGTCACAGCATGTTTGTACTCTAACCACAAGATGCTTTGAATGTTTTTTTCCACTAAAACATGGTAGATTATCTTGTTTTTGTGTATTTTTACATCTATGAAATTCACACACATTGAGTTTACATGTCTTATGGGGACATTGCATTGACTGAAGACTGATCCATATCCTTAACCACAGTTACTACCTGCCCAACACCCTTAACCTAAATCCACCCTTAAATCTATTTGAACCCATATCTTAACTTAACACACTCATTTTATAGTTACACACGTTCATAAATAAAATAACACTGTTTCAATATAAGTTTTATAATATTTAATAACATTTTAACTGGGTAGAAATCCACACAGCTCCAGTGAAGGCTTGGTGATGGATGTTTTTTCCGTTCATAGCTCAGAAAAGGTGTGTAAAACATAACAAAGTGAACAACATAAAAAAAGAAAACTTTATACTGATAAGACATCACTTTAATACAACAAAAAATACATTTTTGCTTAACAGACAACAATATAAACAAACAATCACGTTAAAATATCTTTGGCATAGGTGAAATTAAAAAATAAATGAACTGGGATAAATTAAAAAGGCAGGTGGTTGGTAAAACCTGAAGTTATTTCTTTCTCTGTGTTTATTTAGTTCGACATGACCAGTAGGAGGGGCCAACTGCCAACATTGTTATGGTATAATACAGTACAATTTTCAAATCAGATTTGCGTACACAATACCCATAAACAACATATCAGCTTCATATCACAGAGCAGATAGAGATAGAGAATAATAATAATACAAGTATAATATTAGCATTGTTTTGTATGCCTTAATGTATGACAGCGAAACAGTTATAGGCCTACATGTAGCATATCGATTGTATTTGCGTATTAGCTAAAGACAATCGAAAACGGCATAAAATAAAACAAGTAAATGAAGTAGTAAATGATAATGTGACCAATGCTTGAGGCTAGCATTAGCTCCATGCAGGAAGAAGGTAAAAGAAGGGTCACTTTGAAGCAGAACAACAACAAAAAAAACAAACAAAGTGGTGTTGACTTACCAGTAGTTTTATTTATGTATGTATTTATTTATTTATTTACACACTGGGCAATACAGTCAAACGGATTTATAACTGAAAGAAAAGATAATACCCACTAAACATGTGAGAAAAAGACAACGGGGTCAGTGAACGTACTTCCGCGTTTTGTATGGCGTGCGAACTGGTTCAAATGATGTCAAGCGGCGTTCTTATTAATTGAAATGTTTACTCGTGATTTGGGGTTATAATCAGATTAACACAAGATAAATGCAGCAACAATTGGAATAAAAACCCTGTAGTTTACAACTGCAGTCTAATTACACGCAATATGTCCCTTCCTTATTCGTGGGATAATTACAGGTTCCCTTCACTGAGTTAAATAAGGCCATGTATGGTCCTGTACTTCCTTGTGTCAGCTTTCTAGGGTTATGGATCTGAGGTCACTAGAAAACTCCACCCACATCAATATAAATACAAAACAACTGTTTCCGTTTTCAGTGAGTTAGTCTGACAGGACAGGTTACTGTCTCATATTCCTTCTATAGTAAGTTCAAGAGAGGACAAGATACCAACCATGTTTCTTTTTTCATGGTTTTCAGCATCCACATGGACTCTGCTGGCTCTCTTTTTTACCCTGCTGTTGCTGTAAGTCGTGTTTTGTTTGTTAGCTCTTAAGCTGTAATTACTGCATACTCTTATCAAAGCCAACTGACCAAAGACATAGGGGCACAACAGAACCACAGGTAGGAAGATAATCTATAGTCACTATAGAAGTAAAAGAAATCGCCAGGTAGTCTATTAGTGATCTAGGTCTTATTGCAGACTTCAAAGTCTAAGTGTGAAATAGTTCTAATTTCAGATTCAGGTGACAAGCAAGTAGGTCTATGTTGAAAATAAGCGTTTTTGTTGTGTAAATGATTGTGTAATATTTTACACATATTGCAGCATATCTTGCTCTCTGACCAACAAGAACAGTCCTAGAGGTTTCTTACTCTCTCACAGAACATATTAAAAAAGACTGAAGTGACTTGATTTTTAGAGATTACCACCTTTAATTGTCTGTGTTATGATTATGATGCTATCATAGGCCTATTTATGGAGAGACAAATTCAGACAGCACATGCACTTTATATTTTATTGTCATGTTATTGCTTGTTATCCACTAATGTATTTTTAGGTATGGGATTTGGCCATATAGACTTTTCAAAAACCTGGGAATTCCTGGACCCACCCCCATTCCTTTTGTGGGAACAATGCTGTATTTAGGCAAGGTAAGGGTGTACCTTTCTACACACTATTGTAATGCTAATCCTCATGTTTCAAATTCACCCAAATCAACATGTTTTTTTTTTCTAGGGTGTTTTACCTTTTGACAGAGTGTGCCATCAGAAGTATGGAGATGTTTGGGGGTAGGATATTTTAAAGCATTTTTACAGATAAAGGTAAATTTTCCATTCATTTTCCCATTAAAAAAAATAAATCTTTAATTATTAAAGAGTTCAAAGACATTGCAGAGGCTAATACCTAGATGGTAACTATTATCCATTATGTGGTTGTTTTAAGTCCAATAAGTGCATTTAAAATGAAAGATTTGATAAGTGCTTTAATAACTTGGCGGTTAAAAACTAAAGTTTCAGAAACAGATTTAAAATGAAATTATTGGTCTTGTGGTCATTGGTTACCATATATCTGATTAGCCCTGAGCAAACTTGCAAACTTTGTTTTATGTATTTATTTGGGAAAGGTGAATGAGCAATTTACTGTCACTGTTGAGCTCCATTGATACAGCCTGTTGTAATTTAAAATAGCTTCACGAATACCTTTCTTAGGAGATGTTGAGTTTTCCTCTGTGTTTGTTGCCATTAGGCTGTATGATGCCCGACAGCCAGTTTTAATGGTGGCAGATCCTGAATTTATTAAGACAGTGTTGGTAAAGGAGTGCTACTCTGCATTTACCAATCGAAGGGTGAGTCTAACAGCTTAACCAAACAATTATAAAATATTGTGCTTTCATTTTATGATTATAAAAAATACAACATTTCTTATTAATTATTCGAAATCACACTATTTTCCCCAATTTCCCCTCATTTCTCACTACTGCACATATTATGCATGAGCAGACAAAATACTTCTAATGTGTGACAAAACAACAAAAACAAAAAGTCTCAGTGTATTTCAAAGTTCTTCAAGTGTTTAAATGTAAAAGTTAAATATTACTTGTCTTTGAATTCCTCAGGATACTAACATATCAGGTGAATTGAGTGATGCCATTACAACAGTAAAGGATGACAGGTGGAGGAGAATCCGTAACACACTGTCACCATGCTTCACCAGTGGGAGACTAAAGCAGGTGAAACTGAACTTCTTACCATGTTTTAATAATATAACCACAAAGTTTGCAGATATGCACACATGGTTTACTGTTATTTCTTTTACTATTACTTTTTCTGTGGTACAAAAGTTTTAATATTTATTGGATATTTTATTACAAAATATTTAAATACATAGTACCCATTGTTATTCAGTTCTTTCACCAAATAGCCTCACCCTATCTGGGCTACTACATTTCAATTCTGTCTGAGCAATATATTAAGTATACGGTTTTAAAAATCTTTTTACAGGTATTTCCCATAATCCATCGCTATGCAGAGCGACTAGTACAGACACTGGAGAAAACAAACCTGGATGAACCTGTGGATATTAAAGCGTAAGAAATGTGCCTATACCTGTCTAAAGCCCCAAATACTGTTTTCTGTTCTAACAGTTACAGTGAGGAAAATAAAGTATTTGAACACCCTGCTATTTAGCAAGTTCTCCCACTTAGAAATCATAGAGGGGTCTGAAATTTTCATCATAGGTGCATGTCCTCTGTGAGTGACAATCTGAAAAAAAAATATATGAAAATTTTATATCTATATCTATCCAGAAATCACAATGTATGATTTTTTAACTATTTGTATGATACAGCTGCAAATAAGTATTTGAACACCTGAGAAAAATCAATGTTAATATTTGGTACAGTAGCCTTTGTTTGCAATTACAGAGGTCAAACATTTCCTGTAGTTTTTCACAAGGTTTGCACACACTGCAGGAGGGATTTTGGCCCACTCCTACACACAGATCTTCTCTAGACTAGTCAGGTTTCTGGGCTGTTGCTGAGAAACACAGAGGTTGATCTCCCTCCAAAGCTTTTCTATTGGGTTTAGGTCTGGAAGCTGACTAGGCCATGCCAGAACCTTGATGTGCTTCTTACAGAGCCACTCTTTGGTTATCCTGGCTGTGTGCTTCGGCTCATTCGGGAAGGAGGTTGTTCCCCAAAATCATGCAATACATGGCCCCTGTCATCCTCTCCTTAATACAGTGCAGTCGCCCTGTCCCATGTGCAGAAAAACACCCCCACAGCATGACGCTACCACCCCATGCTTCACAGTAGGGATGGTACTCATCATTCTTCTTCCTCCAAACACAGTTAGTGGAATTATGATCAAAAAGTTCTTTTGGTCTGATCTGACCACATGACTTTCTCCCATGGCTCCTCTGGATCATCCAAATGGTCATTGGCAAACTTAAGACGGGCCTTGTGCTGGTTTAAGCAGGGGAACCTTCCATGCCATGCATGATTTCAAACCATGATGTCTTAGTGTATTACCAACAGTAACCTTGGAAACGGTAGTTCCAGCTCTCTTCAGGTCATTGACCAGCTCCTCCCGTATAGTTCTGGGCATATTCCTCACCATTCCTAGGATCACTGAGACCCCACGAGGTGAGATCTTGCCAGTCTCTCCAGATCTCTCCCAGTCTGAGGGAGATTGACAGTCATGTTTAGCGTGTTCCATTTTCTAATGATTGCTCCAACAGTGGACCTTTTTTCACCAAGCTGCTTGGCCATTTCCCTGTAGCCCTTTCCAGCCTTGTGGAGGTGTACAATTTTGTCTCTGGTGCTCTTTGGTCTTGGCCATATTAGTAGTTGGAGTCTTACTGATTGTACAGGGTGGACAGGTGTCTTTATGCAGCTAACGACCTCAAACAGGTGCATCTGT